TTCACAATATATTAACTTTTCGTTGTATGCACAAAAAAGTATACAAACAAAGCATAATCAAGTGCATATTTGACTCAAACTCCATGCTTGTTGGTAATATGTTTTGAATTTTTGTTTTTTGAATATAGTTTCTGGTGTGTTTGTGCCAAAACATCAGATTATTTGTATCATATTTATTGTACTTTTGCTAAGATCATCAATGTATATTGTTTGTCTATTTTGAAACATTATAGTTAATTGTTATAAATCATTGTTTATTTCATTTGGGAACAAAAAGTTATGGTTTGGAAAGTGCACTGGCTAAAACTGCCATATGAAAAAAAGTTCCTGTTTAATCAAGAAAGATAACTCTCAAAAGGAAATTTCAATGTCATAATTGTTCAATTTTGAAAATATCTAATTCATTATTCATTTATCATTCAATTTAACAGTGTTCATTAATAGTATGATATTTGTAGAATATGTTACAGACAAAATTATACATATCTGACCGTCAGTTTGGGAGAAATTCCCGTTTTTGATGTTTTTGTGTTATTTTGTTGAAAAAAGAAATAGTTCCAAATACAATTTTGAAACTTTTTTTACTTGTCCTTATTTGTTACGTGAACATGCATAATTATGCAGCCTCCAAAAAGTTGAGAACATTTTATTTTGAAAAATTGGCATTTTCCATGGTTTTGAGGGAAAAAAAATATGACCTTGCCGGATGCTATATTAAGGTCACGGAAGTTATTGGGTAATCATAGGAAACACAATAGTTAGATTTCAATGGTTTTTATCCATTTTTTCGTGATGTGTTGAGCCACCTTAAGTATTAACCTCATTCTCCTTTAGAGCGTGTCACGTGGCTTACGCATTAAGTGTTCTCTTGGTCGGTTCAATTATACGTCAAGGGACTTTCATTTTTGTCACAAATTGTAAAGTTGTCCCCCAGTCATCTGCACTTTCTACATGCACTAAACGACTTTCGTACATGAATGTCGGGTGTGAATCTGCTAATATGAATATGTTACACCATGTTACACGTAACGAATTGAGGCTATCCATTTAGGTTTACCTGTTGTGATCGACCCAGACTGTCCAATGTGAAAGCGGATTAATTATGGCCATGGATGTCCAGAAGGTAGCTACAATTGTGTGGTAGTCGTAGACAAGGTTTTATGACCGTGCGAAACAATTTGGTAAATTTACTCAGACCACCTACATTCTGCGAAACACCCTGCATGTATGTAGAATTCATTCATCGCAATATCTAAAAAGAATATTTAAGCATATGGGTTATATTTTTGTAACAAAAGGAAACGTCTCTTTCACACAGCGTTTACAACATGAGCAAAACATTGGCCATACAAATAATAGGTAAGCGTTTCTAAACGACGAGCAGCTTATACAATTATATTTAAAACAATACGCTTACTTCACAACCAATTTAGTAGACGCTAATTTGTGTCTGCTGCGGAGAAATGGGTAGCACTAAAATCGTGGCTGGCTTGTGGCAGTAAATTGAATTCCATTGATTGGGAAAACCCCGTCTAGCCGGATATTTATGGCTGTATTAAGAGCAGACACAATATGTCAGTACTTACCGTGGGAATTTTACATGGAAACTAGTCGATAAACAAATACCTTTGAATAACTGTTGAGTAACTCGAAAACCGTAACACTAAACTGAAACATCAGCAAAGGTGAAAAAGTATTCTCAATGAAGAAATGAAAAAATTTTATTGTTTAATTTCATTCTCTGACTTGTCCTTCAATGACAATAACACCAGATATGGGTGTAAAGTGCATATGGCGTGGCCGGCGGTTTATTGTAGGGCCCACTATATCGTTCTTTTTGTTTCAGTATCGTTCCTCTGTTACGTAACCCCTGTTGTCTATGAGTATTGACATTGAGCTACACAATTGTTACTTGTGTGTGATGTATGTTCCTTTTATATTCCTAAATTACCTTACCAACTAAAGATACTTCTATTCAAGAGCGCTCATCTTAATACTTACCCATATTTCGATATAACTGAATACCTCATTCCATGTACCAAACTCTATTCAAAATATCACAAATTCCCTAACTTTATCGTTATCTTTTAATCACGTATAACACACTCGTGTGAGTCTTCCCTGCTTACGAAATATCTATTTCATTATTTATTTGCTAGTTCCGAGGTGTACTGACGAAACGATGTGTCGACCTAACTTTCTTTGAAGTGTTTCCAAGTCATTAAGCAGCACTACAAGGCCACATTTACTCATTAATAATCGCGAAAACACCACAACAGAGCAAATATGTTTTGTATTTCTGCAAATCTGTGTCATTCATACATATTGTAAATCTCATATCAACACAGTTCAAATGCTTTATTTACTAAACTATCATCACCAATGAGTCTTAGAAGGACGAAACAGCTGTATAATGCAGTGTAGATCATTTTTGGCATTCTTTATCTATTACAAAATGTATCAAAATGTATAAGCGAATCTCCTGTGTGTGTTACGTTAATCTTTTGGGCATCTTAATATCAAAGAAACTTAATTCGCTAATTAAAATTCCGTATTTAGTTCAAATAAGTGTAATAACGAGCATAGTTCTTCAATCAATACTACAGGTGTCTATCACAGAGAGTCAGGGGTATCCAGCGTTACAATTATGACGTCACACTAATGATGATGTCAACATGTGGGCAATGGCATTTACAGTCTAAATGAATGCCATGTGCTTTGATATGGTTATACAGTGGCATCACAATACAGTGGTAAATCTTGCTTTTTACAAACTATTAAATCAAAGGAGCACGAAAGTCAATAATGCGCATGACTTTCTACATTACTGTTCTAGCACACTCTTTCAACATGTGTTTTACCCCCAAACTCGTTTTGAGAACAGATAACACATAAGGTTTAAGTGACACATGACAATTAAGAAATATAGTAGAACTATATTAAGTGATTGATGTACATAAGGCAGTAAAATTGTTAATAAAACTGTGATTATGTCTAAAAACAAAAACAAATGCAAAACATAGCACCCCGATTTCCTAATTTTTCAATTAAGGTGCCTGGAACATGTGGATGATCGGGCTAGTTATCTTGAGGGGACAATTGTGTTGTTTTTCCCCGATAAAGAAAAGAAAACGTCTGCAAAAAATTATCCTGAACAGTTTTATTAGCCACAGTAGGCATACATGTACACCATTTGTATCTCAAAACTTGTTATGCATTGTCAATGTCTTCTGTCATTTGTGTACATTACAAGTTTAAGGTACAAAACAACATACCACTCGAATGCAATATGCAGATACATTATGTATTATGTAAATTAATTGTTGAACAAATGTATTACAGCCTGATAATTTCCTATACTATAATATTATATATATCTATGAATAATAAAACCAATAACACGGGGCGAAAGACAATGGATCTCTCTCCGTTGAAACAAGTACGCGAATCATTCAATTGGATAAAGACTACTCTGCAAGGTTTTTAAGACAAACCAAGTTGGAGAAAAACGATAGAAAATAAATTTTGTCATATGATAAAGAGAATCTGTTATTAATTTCCCTTCGTAATAATACTCGTTTAGTTTTTCATGCTCGCATGAAGCTCGTTAAAATGAAAACAAAAATATCATAAATCTTTTATGAAGGAAAAATCATGACATATACTGTATGCATTTAGAATCAATATCAACGGAATGATTATATATAAAACATTCAAAATATATATATATATATATATAACACCGAAAAAAAAAGAATAGCAATGAACAAGACCAAAATAAAGGTCCCCTATATGTTACTGCATTTCGCATGAAGACCATACCTTAAAAATTGCCTACACAAACTTTTTTCACAACAAAATTACGGGCATTAAAATATTTAATTATATGTAATTGGTAGCGCCGCTGAATATATTTATGGTCTGTTAATATACATTTTGATAAAATAACGATAGTTATAACAGCCAGTCTTCACATGATACAACGCAATCTATTTAGCTATCATAGACATTCCGTAGCCTTCTTTATGCAATAATGAATCATAGTTAATGTCTTAGAGTGCTTTATAGAACCGTTTTCCCTTGGGGGCCCTAGACGCCTAGTAGAGAATGTATTGACAAGATTCCTAGGAATTCCGTTTTACACTTTACACGATTTGCAAATCATGATATAATGAGGGCTCAGCAATGATCCCTGGTTTATTCTTCTTTCGCTTATTTATTTATCTTGTATGGGTTTTTATTGTGCACTTTAAAACAGAAAAATAACGGCTCCCAGCTTCACTTTCGTTATAAAATATCAAACATACGTCACACGATATACTGTTAACAACATTGGACCACTTTACGGCTTTATTTGCCGTAAAGTGTCAACCGGGTCTTTGCCAATAGTGATGAGATTAGTTTAACCGAAACATATGTAGTTATTTTTCCAACGATTTTTTGGACGGTCATACGACTATTGTAATTGATTATAATGATGAATGCTGTATATATATTTGACATGGTTACAATACTTTTTCACTGAGTACATTAACACCCTTCTTACTTATTTTGTTTATGAACCAATGAACCGATTGTTTCGCCCTTATAAATGAAATTATATATACATATGCATAACGTTGCAATGGAGGTTAAAAGTAGATACCAACAAAATATTGGATTTGTATACAATAAAAACAGAAATTATCTAGAGAAGCTAGGTTTTGCAAATTTCACAATAATTTGATACGGGATAAATAAAATTCGTTCCATGCAATAGTGTCATAAATTGAGAAATCTATATCTACGGTTATATTCATTTATATCTGATGATCTGAATTTAATATGTGTTACTACTGTTTCACTACATTGGTTACAGTATAGAATGAGTAAGATTATTTGAAAACCCCTTAACGGGAGCTTCTCTATTTGTTGATGAAGGAAATTTGTTTACATTCTGAATAACAAATAAATATTCTCACAAAAACTTTCCACAATCATAATGCCCCCATCCGTTAATATCAACATCCAAAGAGGAGAAAATATGATCCAGATTGACTTGAAATGTATAATATTCTATTTGAATGGAGATTCGTAGGTCTCTGCTCCCGGTAATAGCTTCACTAAGGAGGAATTAAACAGCATATCAATAAAGCCCTTTACATCGATTATCATCCTAGAAACAGTTAATGTATAATTATTTATTCTTTTAGGGCCGTTTAATATCAATCGGTATGATGGGGAAAACATAAATAATACGATCTACACATAGACATACTCTTGCCGATCCGGGTTACTGCCCTGCTAATGTAGCTTGCGTGTACGAGTTGATATACCCTCTAAACGCGCCAATAAAACACACCAGAATGCACCTATAATTACATTCCTGTAACTGATGATCGGTTAAACAATGAACGCGGCTAACATTGCCTTAGGAAGTGTCTAGCAAATATAAACCAATTCATCTGTATCGGAATACTATTTATACAATACAGCTGTTATTGTAGCTATCGACTGCCGCGTCTCCACTGATCTGGTCCACGCTTTTAGTGATGTGGTATTAAAACACAACATCGACAGTGTCCGAATGTAGTGAACGTACGGATCAGCACACATGACTTATCAATTTATTTATTTTCATACAAAAAAAAAATCAAATGAATGTACCCGATAATTTATATCCGCACAGATTTCAACTCCAATGGCCACCCCTCTCCAATCTTACCAAAGTGATTATCGCTAGCGCTAAATTAACTGAATCACCCAATAGAATAGATGTTTATCATTACTTGGCTCTGTTACGTAAACGGAACTTTTGAATGAAATATTAAGAATATTACCGAAAATTGGAGGTTGTGTTTCTTTTGCGTGTCAGTATATATTGCCAAATAGCTCCACAAAACATGTTTATGCAGTTAAAATGCACGGACAATTACATACAGTATTACAAAACCGAGTGCCTTGTAAGGTTGATGGATTCAATACTGCGAAGTAAATCATTTAATAACTGTAACAATACTCGACTGTTTATTAATGGATGATAAGTATAGAGGCTACAGCTCGATAGGTAAGACACTGCATTTACAAATAATCACAATCAAAACGCGAGAATCATGCCGCTCCTATATAAAAAATACCACAAGCCGGTAACACAGCCAGGAATTAAAATCAGTAACGTTAGACCCAATTAGATTTGTGGGAATGACGTTAAGACGAGGTAACATTGGTATGAATCAAATGATCGGCTGTGATTTGGACACACTCTCTGTACTTGGCAATCATTGAGTCAAGGCCTCCGCGATCTGGTTGAGGGATTAGAGGAGCTATGGAGCCGACAGTGACGAATCTTTTACATCAGTTTAAACCCTCATTGGCAGCCATTTTGTGCCGCCGCAGTGCCACTGACGGTATTCATAATGATTCAGAATCAATGAGGGCTGAACAAACGTTAATCAAATAGTCATATCTACTGCTCAAGTTTCAGCACTTAATAACTCGACTTTAAAGGATGTTTTGGATCATTTATGCAAATATGAATATGTATTTTTTTCAATCCAAGGCGAGCATTATCCAACGTATTAATAACCTCATCAGTTTCCATTGCGCTATAATTGTAACTGAAATGAAAAGATCATTTACCTAGCTGCTTAACAACTTCTGTTCTCATATATTTTTATCAATACGGTTTACCAATCTATAAAGCCAAAGGTATAGTGAAATTAAATTCTGATACATGTACATTTAGCATGTTGTTTGCTGTATATTTTGTTTCATGATTGTTTAGATTAACTAACATTTCTATTGATTTATAGTAAAGACAGGCCAAAAAAAAAAAAAAACTCCAACACGGTTTTTTTGCTTTTGTTTTTGTCAACAGATTTATTTATAATATTATCTTAAAGGGTTTTCTTAAGTGTAGTTCGCTCTTTCGTATGTCTAACACCGAACATATTATATTCTACATTCACCCATATACTTCTCCCTATGTATTTCCTCCGCTACTATTATTTGAGCATGTTTCTTAATCAATATCATTATATTTTAATAGCATTAATCGCTCAAAACGATGCGGTAGATGTAACCAGTGATTGGGTTCTGACTTGGCTTGTTACCGTTCACGATACGGTGTAACGTTGTATATATTGTACTAATGACGGCCACTCGCTATAAATACATAATGTTAATACGCCCTGTGTGTGCTGCGCTTCATAAAAAGTTATTTCATATATCAATATCTCTTTTACAAAATGGAAGGGAATGCAATATTGAGACTGGCTTTTTGTTTCCTTTGTGATTTAAACTTCTACATAATACTGTTATCCTTCATATTAAACTTCGCTTATGGTCATTATTTTAAAGACATGGAATTCGGAATAAAAACAGATGCATTGCAACCATAATGGAACTACATTATCAAATAATTAAAATGTGTCACTCATTAGCCAGCTCTATCACATCTTTGATAACACATGAAAGTGATATAATCACCCAAGCCGAACAGTCTTCGCCATCTTATTAACTTCCGGCCTTACGATAGTTCAATTAATGAAGTAACTCATTCTAATCAGAAAGTAGGACACAGTCCTCTTTGATGTTTAAATCTGCCTGTCATATTTTTAAACAGCGGTTAATGAATATCAGATAGCGCATAGCAATACACAATGTCAAGTTAGGAAAATAGGCTTGATAATTTTATAACCATCACGCATTCCTATTGCGGCTATTACGTTGCAGTGTAATGGGTTTCAAACGAGATCATTGAAAAGTTTCCACATTATGTCATTTCAATCACGCAGCAAAATGCTGGTCCAATTCAAAAGAACTTCTCAAGAAGAAAAGACTTTTCTCATCGCCAGCACGTGAATAAAATCGAGAAGCCACTGCAGGTAGATTTTATCTACGTGCGAGAGATGAGACAAACACTAAATGTAACATCTATATACTATTACCTTATATTTTTCTCCATTTAAAAAAGTCAACTAAACACCAGGTTTTCTAAATGGCTTCTAAGCTCAATCGTCAACGATTGCGATTCCTCGGTTTGTGACAAATGTGAACAAATGGTAGAGTTATGTGGAGGAATACAATGAACCTTAAACCTACGTGTATGTAGAATACTTTTGTTAAAACAATCCTACCGCCATTGTCTTTTCCATAAGCACAATTACGCTTGAAATGGTATTATTATACTCACAATAATTTTTCGTAACTTTATATTGATTTGTTTAAGACGGTCTATATTATTACGCGTATCGCTTTTGTGTTGATATCACGTCCGGTTTAAGACGTCACCTGGCGCGAGCAGACGTTCTTTTTTGAGAAAGTACGTTCCCAAGGTGGCATAAAGTAGTATATAGATGATTAATAAGAGTATATCATTCCGGTCATATTTATTTCTTCTGCTAAGTGGAAATATCAAGTTGATATTTCTCAATCAGAACGGTAATTTCTTTTTAATGTAATCAAAGACAGACTTGTGGAGAATAGTGTGTTTCATCTTTGGGTTGTACTATAAGGTAATTATATACATGTAACTATACAATGGCTAACATTTTGTTACCAGAAAAAAATGACGGAATCGCGTTGAGTAATCCATACAAAAGGCTGCAGAATAATATCAGTTGTATATTTACATTAGCTGTGTATTAACAATTGCTATTTATTAACATTAGCTGTGTATTATCATATGATACAGTGTATGTGTCTACATCAATTGTGCATCAACACTTGCTGTGTATTAACAAATAAGTGTTTTACATCAACTGTGCATCACCATAAGCTGTGTATTCACATTTTAAATATATTTGCATCAACTGTGCAACAACTGTCGCTGTGTTTTGACATTAGAAATGTTTTTACATCAATTGTGCGTCAACATTTGTTGTGTATTGACATATGAAATGTGTTTACATCAACTGTGCAATACCATCTGTTGTGTATTGACATATGATATGTGTTTACATCAAATGTGCAATAAATGTTGTTGTGTATTGATATATGAAATGTATTTACAACTGTGTAGTAACAATGCAGGCACATATTGCAAACTTCTTTTTATGTCGTTTTTATTGCACAATATTTTAGTTTCGTCCATTTAGTAGTTCTAAGTGTCAAACGAACTTATATATCAATATATTAAGTCAGAACCTACTGGAGTGAAGGAACGTAGTGAGAGGAAAGGTGCCTAAAAATAACCTTTATATAGTAATAAAATTATATCTAGATTTTACAGAAAATTAATTCTTAAAATAGTATTTCATGTAAACCTTGTGAGAGTTAACTCCAGTAGCACAGTTACTGCCGAACTCGGGGACTGGTAACAGATTCAACCACTCTTTGATTGTCGTCATTGTACATACTTGTATCTTCTTGAAATTACATGTTTCCTTTTTGATTTTGCCACCAAGCCGTTTTTCTTATGATTTTCTTTAAAAGAGTCAATATGCCTCCAGCGTTACGTACAAATACGGTAGCCCGTTTCTGTATCGGAAACATTTTGTTGTCCCCTCTGATTTCCGGAAAGTATTATGTAACCTTTGACACTGCTTCAGTCTGTTATAGAAATGTTTATAAAAAGACACTTCAATATTGTTGAAGGAAAATGTAACAATTTCCATATGTCTTGCCTTGCGCATTTTTACGGCCTGTAACCTGATTAGTCCCAATGCAATGGCGTTGTGGAGACAATGGTCTTGAAAGATTGATAATTTGGAAATGCTCTTGAATCCATAATACAATATGTATGGCCTACAGGTCGACCGGCTGATGGTTGTCTAGGTCAGTAATGCAGTATTATGGTGTTGTTGTCATACATGTACCAGAAACGTACTAGTCGAAGGACGTTGGCCAGCATCACTCTCCTACGCCAAAACTACGGCTACCTACATCTGATTCATTTATCCCCATTCTAATCTCCTTCTGTCGATTCTGTTATACACATGGGACATAATCAGTGTCTCGGAGTCTTGCAAAGACTTAAAATAATTTCATCGCTCACAAGGCACACAAAAAATAGAAGCTTCACTTGATTAGATTTGTTTCGAGGGTAATTTGAATTGGATTTTCATGAAAACGGATTTTAGTTTATCTTGTGTAAAACCTGTCAAAAAATTATCCTTCAAATTTCAAATCCTTTTACGACATCAAAAAATTGCTCTGCCTGGGGTAAGACAACCAAAAAAATCACCCTGAGGGTTGGGGATTTCTCTTTTACATTCTCAAGG